CATGATTCTCCGGTAAAACAGAGTTCTCAGTCCAAAAAGCCTAGCCTCTCATAATAGTTAGGAATAGCATACGCGGGATGAACGGAGTCCAATGCACATCTATACATGAGAAGCCTCGTGAAAGTTTGTTGTACTTTTTCGATTGTCATTTGATATTTACGTAGGTGTGGACTCCATACCTGACAGCAGTACTCAAGTTGTGGGATCACATATGCTTTATAAAGTCTAAGAAAAATTGCTCTATCCTTGCTGTGCACATTTCTGAAAATGAAGTAGACGGAGTTTAGAGCTTTACGGACGATTTCATTTATATGATTGGAAAAGTCAATATTAGATAGGTAAGAGACACCCAAATCTTTCACGAAATTTCGACTCTGCAGAGTAATGTCTTCATATCGATATCGGGAGCAGGTGCCAGGTCCAATATGGAATACGAAGGACTTTGTTAAGTTTATGGGTAGATTCCAGTTACGGGACCATTCCATCAATTTTTCAATGGACTCAGAAAGGGCATTGTACACCTCGCCATAGTTTTCTTGATTATAAGTTCCATAGATTTTTATGTCATCTGCATAAATCTGTATCTTAACTGAATGGTGGGTTTTCAATACAGTTGGAAGATCAATGCAGTAGATAAGAAACAAAATCGGGGAAAGTACCCCTCCTTGGGGAACTCCGCTGGGACATGGGTAACGTTCTGAGAAGGAGTTACCAACCTTTACCCACATGTGACGCTTTGAGAGATATGAAACTAGCCAGTTCAATAGGTTACCATCGAGACCAATCATTCTACATTTGAGTATGAGCTTCGAATGATTCACTTTATCAAATGCCTTTGAGAGGTCAAAGTATATTACATCAATAGATTGTTTCATGTTCAAAGCAGAAGACCAGTCGAAGGTGCTATCAAGAAGTTGTGTAGTGGTCTCGATGGTAACCTATTGAACTGGCTAGTTTCATATCTCTCAAAGCGTCACATGTGGGTAAAGGTTGGTAACTCCTTCTCAGAACGTTACCCATGTCCCAGCGGAGTTCCCCAAGGAGGGGTACTTTCCCCGATTTTGTTTCTTATCTACTGCATTGATCTTCCCAACTGTATTGAAAACCCACCATTCAGTTAAGAATA